CTACATTAGAAAAATTATAGTACCTCTGTTTTCCAGTTTTTATCTCTATGTAAGTTTGTGACCATGCACTTTCTGTTTATCCCAGAAAATGAAATTGTGGGCAGTAAATAATAGTCTTATGTTTTAAATTATGCTCAATTTAATATATTTAAAATAAAATACTAAAAATATAATTATTCATAATTCTATGCTTTGGGAAAATTATTAAAATTGTTTCCAATTAGAACCCCCCAAAGTATATATTTTGAGTGTTATTTTATTTAAACAAATGAAACCAAAGCTTATGCCTAAACATTTAAAAATATTGAGTGACAGTGTGGTATATATTAAGAAGTAAAGAATGCAAAAGCGGTTTGTTATCATTGTCTTGGTTATGATATTGACTGGATGTGGAACCAACTAAGTGATAAATTGCTATTCACACCTGTGAGCAATTTTCTTGAGCAGCTTATTGGGGGTGGGAAGATACATCTTAAATGTTGGTGGTTCTGCCCATTAGCAACATAATACAAGTATGTATAGAGGGAAAGCTTTGCATATTGCCTCATCATCCTCTGGCTTTTCTGATAACTCTGTCCATTCTGTTACCACACTGCGGCACTCCTTCATGGAAATAAAAACTCAGCCTATTCAGCCTTTCAGTATGGACTGAAGTCATCAGTTACCCAAAAAATCCCCCAGCCTTCATCACCATGTTGAGTCTGCTAAGCCATGCAACAGTCACCGGGGGCTCAGCCATTCCAGTGGGAAGACAACCATTGTTCAAGACCAAATTCCAAATTCTATCAATCTAGTAAACCCCTTTCTAATATGTGCATTCATTTTCATCATTCATAAATTGTGTCATTTAGTGGTAAATTTTCGTTTTGTGTTGATTTATAAGCATTGCCATCATTATCGTCATTATCGTGGTAAGTCAGAGCACTAAGCAGCCTTTGTCTGCATTTTGATAATTTACCCCTCACCTTCAAATGACATTTTCGTGATCTCCTCATGTGTGTGTGTGTGAATATATATACATACATATATAGCTTATGTTGCCATGCTAGACACAAACTTACTATGCAGAAGTAGATAGCCTTGAACTCCTAATCCAAGCATGTTGCAGCATACACAGCTGAAAACAATAGTTTACACAAATGTGGTAAGCATTTACTCTCTAAGTGACATCAAAATATCAATTCCATCACTGTGCTGGACTTAAACATCACTGTGTATATATACCTCAAAATAAATATCATGTTGCACACAGTTAAGTCTCCTTTGTGTAAAATTACTTTAAAAGGAAAAGGGGAAAAATTAACAAGACAAATGTTACCCTTACTCCATACTTGGAATAAACAATAAAATTAAAAATTAACCATTCTAAGAACATCATCAAAGAATACATAAATTCAAATAACTTACTTAATTTTTAATTTTCCATACAATCAAGTGCATTCAAGTGTTCCATTTACCTTGGTGATGGTTTGGTGAGTAACTACATGTCCATCAGCTGTGTAGCTTGTTTTGCCCAAGTTCCCATGTGTTCAACCCATCAGGTCCTGAGACAGATCAGTCTACAAGTGCTAACAGTGTTTATTAGAGTGTTTTTATTCAATCACATAATTTTCTTAAGCATGAAAAAAGTTAGTTTTCATTCAAATTAAACAGGATCTTAATATACAGTAACTGCTCAGAGAAAGAAACAAAAGACCAAGCTCAATGCTTTTTAAAAAAAAATAAAATAAAATTGAGTATTAAGATGATTCTTATCCAAGGAGACAAAATCCAAAGCCTGAGTTCAAGGTGAAAAAGAAGAGAAATGATTAAAAATGTGACTGCTGTAAACCAAAGCCCACTGATGTGAGATACAAATTCTACAGGTATTTCTGTACTACAGATATTAGTGAGGCTTTCTCAGCTCATGCTTGTGTGCTTATTTAAATGTTGGCTTCTTTCTAGTGTGGGAGAAGCTTCAAGTGCTCTTTAAGTCAGACTCTCCTTTTCTCTATTAATAAACTATGGCTAAAAGCCTCCTTCAGCTGTGAAAATGTCAGGGAAGAGGCAGGAAGACAGGAAGATTTTGTTCAGGACTTAACTAGGTTGTGGCACACATAACCTTTATACCGAGTTCCCAGGACATGTTTTAGGTGAGAGTTTTAATCTATACTGCTTCCATAGCCTGAATGTTAATGTTTCACAAGAACTCACAGGCTGAAATCCATGACTTGTCATGTGGTAGTACTAGGAAATGGGGTTTTGAGGAGTAGGCTTGTTCATGTAGTCAGAGAGCTCTTGAGTGGAATAAATTCCTTATAAAACCATTTCAAGAGATGGGGTCAGCCCCTGTGGTACTGCCCCTGAATCCAACATGACTCTTAGCAGAAAGCTGATCTTGTACCTGGAACTGACAGTTCCCAGACTACAGTGCAGGAAGGAATAGATTTTTGTGTCTATAGACACTTATAACAAAGATCCTAAGACATCAACCTTCCTGGTTTGCAAGTTTTCTTGTGGAAGAACTGGGTTGGTGTCAAGGAAATAGCCAACTGAAATGCTGATAAGGAGAGAGAGAGAGAGAGAGAGAGAGAGAGAGAGAGAGAGAGAGAGAGAGAGAGAG